ATCACGATATTTCTCCAATGGTCATTCCTTGACGACAGAGTCACGTTCATAATTTTTTTACTACCCAATCGCGGCTAAATTAAAAGTAACTTCCGTCTTCCATCAGGGACAGAGCAGATGTCGAACGCTACTAATCCAACTTAAATAAGATCTATTTGTTTTATCTCGTAATCTCTACTAAGTAAGAAAAGAGCTTTTCTCACAAATCAGTAGATTCAACAGTGACTGTCCTACTAAATGAAAGTATGCAATTGTCGCTTGATATATCTGAATAGGTCAGATGAATAGAAGTGCAAACCAACACTGTTTTAGAAACTCGAAAAAGTGACTTGAAGTGACTTTCTTTATAGCTCAATTTTGAAACAAACTTCAGAAACATCATTATTAACTATCACTTAAAAGTTTACAAGCTAAATGATAAAGTCCTAACAAATGTTATAATCTACTATTTGTACAGTGTTCTGTTGGATGTGGGGTGTGGGCGTTGGTGTGGATCTTCTGTTCTCTCATGCATATCCACCAGCATCATCCCATGTATCCATTTTCATCGCCACATGATATTTTCATTTCAATTTAACACATCTATTAAGTTATTGAATAGAGTGCAACAAACGAGAGTCGATCATGATGCCTACAGAATGGAAGACATTGAACTTACCGCGAAGCTATAAATACTCATACAGTCTTATCTGTTATTATCATGTGTCTTTTTATGGAGAAAAAGATCAATTTATGGCACTTCATTAAATTATAAAAACTTGAAAATATTTTCATTTTTTTAATTTATCAGTGCCACGTAAAATTGCATACATGACATCAGTTACATATGATTAACTTTATAAAAATAATAATTATATTTTTTGGATCACAGAATACGAGAAAAATGATTTTTTCGATAATTAATTGCTTATTCAATAAATGCTCAATGGACGCAGCATCTTAACTTTTTTGTCTTTTTAAAGTAAAAAAAAATTCATTTAAATTTTAAATTCAAATTAAGTAATTATTTTTTCATTTTACTTTGAATGAAATTTATAATCATAGTGACATGAAGATAAATTTTATAGAATTTACTTTTCAAAAAAATTAGTGAAGCTTGAAGAAAATAAATTTAAAGAATTGAGTTCTTGTTAGACGATTACATGCATTTTGTTTCTTCTGTCACATATGGCCCCTTAGTGTAAGAATTCGTATATGAAGAAGCAGAAAAAAACTTTAGACTTTAACACATAAACATTAAATGTATTGTAAATGCGATCATAACCAACCCAGATAAAATATTTGTTGTACATGGACGCATCTAAACGCACGATAGCAATAGTGTCTGAATGCACGTTTTGTGTTCTGACCGGATTTAGACGCTACTTTAAGTTGTTTTTAGCCATATTCAGACGCAGTCTGTTTCAAGTTGTGTTTAAAAGTATCTCTATCATTGTGTCTGAGCTACACCTAGATTCATTCGTTTCTTCTACTTCTTATCTGTTTGTATCTCTAATAGGTTTACACAGAAATTAACTTTGAGCTTCATGTTTGAGTTAAAATGAACATTTTTGCTTAACATTTAAATTTTATTTATTTTGAAATTTAAATTGCTAAGTTTAACGCATGTGCTATACAAGAGCGGATTTGATTTCGTGAAAAACAAGTGGTGGTAGTGACATGTAACAAAATAATATTATTTTAATACTGTTTTCGAATGAATGTTCTGTACATATCAAAATTTGATACGTGTACTCATTTATTTCTATTTCACAGACTAAATAAGTCTTCATGACTTTATATGCTGAACACAAATATCAGATTATCAAGAAGAGTCCTCTTTAAGAATTCGAAACGTAGTAAGACTTAAATATGTCATCTATATAATTAGCTATACAATCTTTATGCTTTTTTGAATAAGAAACACGTAGTTCAATTTACTGTTCGACATCTAGTCACGTATACTGTGATAAAGTAATCTGCATTATTGATAGCACTATATGCATTTGCAGCTAAAAATGCGTTCAAATGCATCTTGTCTATGAAAAACAGAAAAACAAGCTACATTTACACGCACGATTGAAACTCAAAAGCATTAGTTGCATATAGGGTAAGCGTGTTCGGATGCAAAAATAAAAGCAATTGCATTGAAACGCGTTTAAGTCACGAAACGCGTCTGAACGCATGCAAGTCTTTGCAACATGTTGAAACACTAATATGATGAACGCATTTCAGTGCGTTTGGAGACTGTTTCAATTCCAGACGCATTTAAACGCGTCAAAAATGCATTTTATGATTACATGGGATTCTTTTAAAGAATTCCGTAGGGAGTCAGTTTTCAAATCTGCACGACACTAATATACACTCTAATTTATTCTGCTGCGTCAAATTATCTTTTCATTATTTTGAAATTTTTAGTAATGGCTGACAACCAAAGTTCAAATGACACAGAAAGCATTTCATTTGCCAACACCGAAATCTCTCTACCGCGTACTGCTCGCTTTTGGATTCTTCTTCTATTTGACGTCCCATCCACTATTTGTGCATTCTTCGTTCTCTTCTGTATCCTTATTGATCGAAAATCACGCTCTACTGTCAAGAACCATGTCCTTATTGTTTTGCTTATTCTTGGCTTGGGTATTCAATTGATTGATGCTCCTTTTTATCTCAATTTTATCGTACATTCAAGTGTTGTTCCACCGAACTATTCGATCTGTCTCTTGTGGTGGTTTGTGGATATTGGTATGTACAATGGAGGAACCATACTTTTGTCCTGGACCGCATTGGAACGACATATTATCGTATTTCATGATCAATGGATTTTAACGAGAAAGAGACGTATATCGGTACACTATTTGCCATTGTTTTTTTTGATCCTATATATTTTTATTTACTATATTTATGCCATTTATTATTTTCCATGTGAAAATGATTACGATTATACATTACCATTCTGCAGTGGATCTCCATGTTATCTAAATGATCCAATTATGGGCATATGGGATTCATTTACCAATAGTGCTTTGCCATCATTTCTCGAAGCATTTTTTAGTTTAGCTTTTCTTTTTCGAGTCTTCTGGCAGAAATATCATTCTCATTTACCATTGCAATGGCGCAAGCACCGAAAGATGACAATTCAGCTCATGTCTCTCTCTTTTCTGAACATGGCCGTTACCTTTCCACTTGGTGTTATTTGGATTGCTCATTTATGTGGTTTACCAGAAGATATTGGAGTCGAAGCTTCACAGTATTTCTTTTTTCTTTGTTATTTTGTCATTTTTCTGTTTCCTTTCATATGTCTTGTATCGATAAGTGGTGTAAATAGAAAATTTCAAGAAAAAATACTTCGTCGACGACGACAACGAAGACAACTTCGGCAATTCACAGCAACCGTCAGACCTGCAAATTTCGGAACAAATATCACAATGCAGCATTAAATGAAATATTTTGACACTCTATTTTTTCGGTTTTCTAAAATTCAACAATCCTCAAACCAAAGTGAAAAAAAATCAATTTTAAAATAACAGATGATTGTGTTCCTTCGATGTTGTATTGTATTGTGTTCAAAAACGTACATAAACTATTGATAATGTTTTTTTTTTTGCATTTTGCTGTTTATTATTATACTCGGAAGCGCATACATAGTAGTATGGGAAAAAGAGAAAAACTGTAGAATTCTACAAGAAAGAATCTAGAGTAATATCGGTGCAACTTCATCGATGCAACAGTAGGTTAGAATATGATACTTTCAACAATAGGAGCAGAAAAATAATGAAAAAGTGAAAAAAGGAAAAAATTAAGTTTTTGAAGTAAATAACAATGAAATACATATATATATATATATATATTAATTTTTTCTATTAAACATATCAATTAAATCAAAATAATTACTATTTCAACTTAATTAAATCTACTCAAAAATTCTAAAAATTAATCGAGTCAAAATGATTGATAGTTATAAATATAGTGGATGGTTATAACTCACACACTAGGATACTGATGTTTTGACTTGCCACCGTCATTATATGATCAACATAAAATGTATGAACTAATCAAGTTATAATTTTGGAAAACAATCAATATCAGTGTTTATGAACTTATTGAGAATTTTATATTTAAAGTTAACAAATATTAAACAAAGCAATACATAATGGAATATTATTATTACTGGCTGATGGTCAAGACTATCACGTTTACGATTATTTATCATTACTGCAAAGTAGGAAGATAACGATGAGAATTTCGCATACATTGTAAGCGCTAATCACTTCACAAAAAAAAACTGTCTGGAAAAGATGATGACTCTATAAATAGGAACAACCACAGACAGTAGACCAGACCTTCGTTATAGTTCTTGATAGTCTATTGTTATAAATATAGCATAGCAAATTCGTATCCAAATTGAATTTAATAAAGTATAAAAAGAAAATCGCGCATATTCACTGTACATATCAAACATGAACCTAGTCAATTACCATCATCAAAATTGAACGACCTCAAATCATAACATCAGTAAATTCGAAAATCATACGTGGTCCTATATTTTATATGAATAATAAATGATTGAAAATGTACATTTACAATTAGTTCGATTCGTTAAATATAATCAGTTGTGACTCACAGTTACGAAACAAAATACAATTATCATCTCAAAAGGAAAATAAGCTTTATCTCAAGATCAGATCATTCGTTTATATTTATTAATAAAAAAGAAAAATGAAACTGTCAAATCGTATAGTAATAGAATTAAAAAAAATGAAAGTATATGATTTATTTTCGAACACTTCCACCATCAGCTATAACGGAATTTGGACAAAGTTCCGGACTAAATAACACAATTGAATAGCACAAACGTCTTCCAGGACATCGATTATCAATAATACAAGTTGAATTTGGTTTGACACATGTATCATTCGAATTACAAGGCGTTCCATATTCACAACTCATTTGTTGTGTACAAACTCGTTCTCCTGTTGTTGCTGTCGCACATTGACAAAAAGTACTATTTGAACATGTACCGTTATCTGTTGACGGATCACAGGTACTTTGATATGGTATAGGACCATCAATATTCGCTATCACCGATACTACAATTCTTAATAAACTAGTCAATTCCACTATTTCTTGAACAAAACAACATACCCATATATGAGGATACACTATAAGAAAAATATGAGAATATATTAGATATATCGATTCTACGATTAAAAAAAATTACTTACAGTGCGATTAAAATGAAATAGACTTGCATAATTCACTGATTTATGCAATACGATCAACTGTTGATATCTATAAATTGAAATAGATTTCGAATAAAGTAATTAGAACTTATACATGTTACATATGAAGAACTAACTATGAATGTCTATAACAAATTTATATATGATGTTGTTTGAGTTGTGTCTCTACTAAAACAATTATAAATATGCACTATTTCGAAGTTCATACATTTGCAAATTGAATATTGTTGACGATGTTAAAAAACAAGCAAAACAAACACTCAATTAATGGAATTTGAAGTAGAAAACGAAATGTACTTTTTTTTTGCTGTCTGGTGATAGCAAAACAAAAAAGAAGAAAACGAGCAGTCAATTAGTAGAATTTCAAGTAGAAAATGAAATGTTCTTTTTTTTGTGTCGTTGTCAGATGTTAAATACATTTTTTCGGATATTGTTTTATGTGTATCGAAAAAAAAACAAGTTTACAAAATGTTTATGATTTAAATTGCATTTATATTGAAGAAATATATGTTTTACTTAATTGATGCATCGTGGACGATGAAAAAAAGATATAACAATTCAATAAAAAGAAAGAAACAATATAGATGTATACGATTCAAAAAGAATGAATCGATTAGTATCAATAAAAAATATATTTAATTAGATTGAAATAAATCTTAATAAAGTATAGAATAAATTCAGATGCTATACATTATCATTTGTTATTGAGTATTATTTAAATAGTTAGTAGAATAAATGAATGATCAGTTATTAAAATAATCAGGTTTGTCAATATATTTAAAAATCAGTAAATTAAATTAAATGATAAGTATAAAAATATAAATATATTAAGGTATACTTCAAATAGAAGATACATATATTGCAAAAGAAATAACAGAAGATATTGAAATGCTTCAATTATCCAATTCTAGAGCTGCATTCAGATTAGCATCAACATTATTTATGAAGTAGAAAATCAATAATAGGCAAAAAAAAATCAGTGAATACTAGATTTTTTGAATTATGTTGATAGTCAATGGTGTACAACTTTATGTACCAAGTACAAACAATGTCCGAGAGGTAACCAGTAGAATAATCATAGATGATGGAACGTTTAGAAAACGTCATGTTCTGTTAATGTTGTTAATAATTGGTCCATTGAAATCGATGATATCTCAATTAATGCAAAAATATTTGCTATAGAACCAATAATATCTTTAGGATTATGAACTTTATCGTATGAATAGGTTAAATCAACAAAAGATATAATTTGTATTTCCAATAATTCTTCAAAAACATATTATATACCCGCTCGTGTTATAAAAGCCAATTTATATAAGTATAAAAATAAAAAGTGGACAGCATTTAATTAATCTAAAAAAATCAAAATGCAACTGTCCAGCTTTTTTTAAGAATTATATATGCAAATACATTGTTAGTATAGCTATTCGTTTGAAATATTACAAATCACCAGCAGTAGTGAAAACAGTGCAGATCGATGAGAAAAGAAAACAGAGGTAGGCCAGCAAAGACTAAACCTGCATTGCTAGTACAATAGTTGAATTTTCATTTTCTTTTTTTTTTTCCATTGATTCTTTGAATTTCTATTTCTATTTAATGTTCTTTTGAATATTTCTTCTTATTTATTTAAAATTATTTTTCTTATACTAACTTAATCTTTATATGAATAAAACTGATTTCTTCTGTTGATAAAATCTGCTTTTTTAGTGATCAAGTTTGAATTTTTTTTTTACTAACAGTTGTATATAAAAAACTAACCATTTCAATATTTCCACTGACCAAAAATTATGTTTTCTTTGTTATTTAAGAATGCAATAAAAAAAAATGATCAAAACAATTGAAGTATGTTCTTGCTTTCGTCAATAGTTCTGCTTGACCAATTTCTTTTTCGTATCAAGATATATATGTTTTTCTACCAACCACGTATGCACACTCAAAGGATGAATTGAATAAAACGCTTCACTGAATTTATTTTGTTTTGTTTTTTTATATATTCATTGCATGTTTATATCGTTAACATAAATATCAATTACGATTACATTTCACTACTATGCCCTCATTTAGCGCATCTTTATCAAAAGATAAGTTATGTGAGGCTTCTTCCGAACATAGATTTATTCAATTGACATCTACTGGTGAAATTACACAGGAACAATTTAATAAATGGCTGACTCAAGATTATCTTTTCGTTAATTCTTATATTCGTTTCGGTGCACATGTACTTATAAATGCTCCTCGACAAGATTATAAAGTCTTAATTAAAGGACTTTCAGCATTAGAAGAAGAATTAACTTGGTTTGAAAATAAATTAAAAGAGAAAAATATATCTATCAAGAATATTAAACCATTATCTGCTAATCTTAATTATCAACATTGGTTGGATGATTTAATGCTTACTAAAAAATCATATTTAAGTTTAATTACAGCACTTTATGCTATAGAACTTTGTTATTATGAAGCATGGAAATCGGTAAAAAATCATGATTATCAAGAATATATCAATCGATGGGGATCAGAAGGATTTGAACAATTTATTGAACGACTTCGAGTAACTGTTGATGTTGCATCAATAACTGCTGCCAATAATGATAAACAAGATGCATGTCAGCTTTGGAATGATGTTATGCAATTGGAAATCGATTTTTGGAATATGACAATAGATGAGAAATCAGAATAAGAAGTATTTTTATGATATTGTTACTTTTCTTCTCGAAATAACCATAACAAAAATACAAAACTATTGTTTATAATTTTTCATTTTTAGTTCACATGTAATATTAAAACATGATTCAAAGTTCTGTCTTCAATATTTTTATTTTATTTTAGTTGAAGTGCGTAATTGCTTTCAATAGAAGTGTAGTTTACAAAACTGGGGAATAAGAAACGAACACAGTTTAATAGCATTCTGTTCAGCTTCTTCTTCTTATGGCATTAAACATATAGTCTAGAATTGAAATGAGTGTTTATTGAACTCAAAACAAGTACCAGTATGAGATGAGTACGATTTATAGAATCGGAACTACTTATTTTATAAAAATGAAAAGTCTTTATTTGATAGTGAAAGATTTACTTTATATTTCTTTCAAGAATATTGAAATATATCTCCGTACATTTCTGAACTGTACATGAACTTTTAAGGTGATATTACTTGAGGTACATGTCTCATAGAAGTTTTTCTGGACTTCTCTAAAGTTCAATAATTTCTAAAACCAATGCATTGTAGATAACAGATGAATATGTGAGTGATAAAATTAGTGTAATAAACGCATCAATGAGGTTACCTGATAACAAAAAACTGAAAAAGTATAGAAATCAATTTTTAGTTCGTCGGTAATAATTATAGCTCTCAGACAGTTGAAAAACTCTGCTCTATTGAGTCTTGTGCGCTTCTGTGTGTTTGTAATCGAATCTGTTTACAGCGTCATATAGAGATTAAAATGAATATATTTCATTTTTTTTGTCGTGTTTAAATACTAAGTTTTGTTTTGCATAATTTTCTTAAAATGTATTCCTTTGATCATTTTTTAATAGTTGAAAAAATATTTGCAAATGTATGATATTAAAAAAAAGTATCTAGAAAGGACGAAACGAGTTAATGTAACCGATTTATGAAGATTTTGTCCTTATATCGACAATGTCTTTCTTGTGAACCAGTTTTTGATTTCAATGGCTATGATGTCTTTTCTTGTAGTTCTGATCATGACTTCGAAAATTAATTTCAGATATTTTCATATGAAATCTAAAATTTTCATTACTTGATTTACTCAGTGAATCATTGTTCCTTTTTTATTTCTTCTTTTGAATTTTGTTTCTAGTGATATCACAGATAATACGTATATACACTTAGAATAAAAAAGCATCTGTGTATAATATTCGATCTCAAACTCGTTCACCAGAACTAAAACTGGTTTCGTAAATCTCAGAACAGAATATATCAAATAGTCGATCTGTCTATCGCTAAATTATTGGTCGACTAATTTATCAAAGAACCAGAAAAGAAATAAATTATCCGATGTTAATCTTCATTTCGTGAAATTAACCAAAAACCAAATTTTCAAAAAACATTTAAGAAGTTCATATAAAAATATATTAGAATTAGTAACTAGAAGTTTCGCTATACAGGGTGTGGGTGAGTCTGGGTCTATGTGTAAAAAAAGCCACACCCACACCCTCCCACACCCATCTACACCTATCCACCTCTGAAATTCGAACACTGAATATATTCTTGATCATCAACAAGGCACTAACTGCAACTACTCTGCGATTTGGATGTAATTTACTCAAAATTGCCCTTGTGTAATGATGTATTGGCAAATAAAATAAACAAGAGCAATGCTTGAACGACTTAGTATAGTCCGGTGTGATCATCGAATCGTGCCCAAATTTCAACAACTTCTTAATTGAGAATAAATGTATTCGATAGATTGTGCTAAACATTTTGATTATAAATTGGCAGTGCTTGATTTGTTTTTTTTTCTCTATGGAAAACGAGCGTTTACAGATTCAATCGTTATGCTGCTGTATTTAGTAATATCAATGTACGTTTATTCATTAAAAAAAAGCGACAATACAAAGAAAGATAAAAAATAAGCAATAGAGAGAGCCAATATTGTGAAAGAACAGAATATGACTAATGGCGTGACGTATCTCATTTGTGTATTATCTCCATCTTGTGAAAGAGGGGATGATGCTCTCTTTATACAAGTAAACAAACATCTGTTGGAAAAAAATCAAGTAATTTTCTTTCAGCGATATATACGTGAAACAGCCGATCATTCTCTCAAGCAAAAAATAATCTCGTACGTTTATATTCAAATGTTACTTTGATCGTAAGTATACTGACATCATTGTTACATATTGATCTTGAAGATCAAAGAGTACCGAAGAATAAACAGAAAATAACAATGAACTAGTAGAAATGATAGTCATTTCCACTACTGATCACCTTTGAAGATAATAATGAATCACAGATGAAAACGACGAGAAGTAAAATAAACAAATGTACTTTTTTGTTGTTTTTTCTTACGAGTCTTCTAAGAACTCCGATTTTCACGAAGAACTAAAAGTTGAATTTTTACTATAGTCAGACTTCCTGAGTATTCTTCTTTCAGAATATGTGTTGCATTTCACTAAATACAAGTATTGGAAAACATTTTTTTAACGATTTTATTTCAAGTATAACTTTCTACATTTTAAATAACGAAAAGAAAAGAAAAAATAAAATAAAATATAAAAAATATCTCTAGATATAGCTCTGCAAATTATCAATATACATTTTTATCTTGCATACAAAATACATCGATTACAAACTAAAATTCTAGAATCATTTCACATATAATAGATCAATCAATAGTTGTTCTAACATTAAGTTTTTTGTCTTTTTCTACGAAATTCTTTTGATATTGAACAAAGTTGTTGATTATCAACAAATGTTTCTAATGAAGTTCGTGTCATATTAAATTAATTTAATTCATTATTGAAAGTGAAATGTTATTTACACATTTCATTTAGATTACGAAATTCATCATTGATAGATTTGTCTTTGTATTAAAAAATAATCTCATTTTTCAAAAAGTATCATCTATTCGATCAAGCTTCTATTTCTCGTTTGGTTTTAATGCTGCAGAATATAATACTAGTACATAATGATCTTCGCTAATAAATACAATGATTTATGGATTAAACTGTTATGATAATAATGATGAATCTGCTAATGTTGGTACAACTGATTTCAGTGTTAATGTCATTTGAAATAGAGGATCATTTGTACTAAAAAAAAAAACGTTCAAGTAACATATATTGATGATCATCTAATTTATTACTCATTATATATTCTTTTTCTCTTTATTAATGAAATGAAATGGAAAATTTCGAAGAAAGCAAAAAAAAATTCTTTGAAATGATCTACTAGCTGATGCGAATGACTCACCCCAATTATGTCTATCAGAAAGCCACTATTGCACTTTGTAGAGATCACTTTTATAAATGGATCGATTAAAAAAATAATTGCACAGAAAAATCAGGCGTATTTTACAGTATTGTTCTATAATACTTTCATCGTAATCATTTTTATTTCCTCTATTTTATTATCGTGATTAACTAGCATCATCTTTATTATAAAGGGTGTGGATATAGGTATCTCCTTTTCAATCACACATTCACACCCACACCTTAGGCGTTAACATTTAACAAACAGTTACCAATAACTGGATAACTGTGCCAGTTCCAGTTGTCGGTCATTGAGTAAATATGACAGTTATCCAGTTACCGGTAAATGGCCAACCCTAATTAGGATATCTAAGTGCGAACAATGTCACGTAGTCTTGACAAATTTATTGTGAATGTGACTAGCGCATCTAGAACTGAATTTACGTGTAAATATATGCTTCAGCAATGTTAAAACTCAATCAATTGAGACAAAGAACCATACTGTACCAATTTTAGTCAAGAAAAAAAATTTGTCATTGCCATAATAGCCTAACCAAAACAATCATTTTCATTATTCTTTCTCTCTTTCTTTAATTGTAATTACTTAGATTTCTACAGTGAGAGGAACAGCAAACTATGGACTTCAATTATCAATTCAAATTGTTCACAAAAAATGCAAAAACAACTGGCAGCTCTAGTCCTTTGAAAACAAGGCTTTATCTATCGGATTATGGTTTTTTATTTTTTTTTTCTATAAAATCATATCAATGACTCTTCCACTATGCCCTGAGTGGTAATTTTGAGAGTGCTTTTACATCTACTAAGTACTAGAGGTGATTTAAAGCGAGTTCCTATCCAATATTTTCTTGGCGATATCGGAGAGCGAAGGCAATTGCTATGTGCACAGGTGCTTATCTATATTGCTATGTATAATAAAAAATAAACTTTCAAACAAAAGGTGTTCTAGTTCGAGTGAAGACAAAATCCTTTCAAAAACGAATAAATCAATAAATGTGCCAGTGCCATATAGTCTTCTTATCTTTTCATTATTCCACCTGTTGTTATTCGCGAGCATTCTTTTATATATACTCGAAATAAAATGTTATGTATTTTATTTCAAAAATACAGAGTAGACATGTCTCATATTTGGCTTCTTGTTTTTCTTGTTTTTCTGCCGATCGCTCATTCCATCGAAAGTTTTGATGATTACAATCAAGAATGGATAGATTTTGTTCGTCAATATGATAAGAGCTATGCCACTGAAGAAGAAGCTCAACTACGTCGGTCAATCTTTATTGCGAATCTCCGTGAAATTGAACGACACAATAGTCAACCTAATCAGACCTATATAAAAGCCATTAATCAGTTTTCTGATTTGAGTCAACAAGAGTTTGAAGAGCATGTTCTTTCGCCTCAATTAGCCTTTGCCTCTGTTCCAAAGCCACAACCGGTACCGGTCATGACTCGATCGTCAACAACAGCCTCGTCAGTGCCTACCGGATGTACATGTGGTTCGAGTAACTGTTGTATTTCATCAGCTAATCCAAACGCATGCTGCTTGGCTCTTGGTATGGGATCATGGAATCGACGTCAATGCAATCCAGGCGCTTGTAGTGGTGTTGTTCCCAATAATTGCAAGTCTCGCGATTCACAGTGTTGTCAATCATCACAGAATCCAGGTGAATGTTGTGCTGCTCTTGGATTTGCATCTTGGGATGGTGGTTGGTGTCGAGGTGCACATGCATCCACTGTTCCAAATGGATGTTCTGCTTCGAATAGTCACTGTTGTTCAGAAAGTACTTTGCCCCAAAAATGCTGTGAAGCATTTGGCTTTGAATATTTTGATGGAGCTTACTGTCGTCATTCGGCATCTTGGTATCCAGCTCCTGAACGCTTAGAAAATGATTATCCAAAGAATTTTGATTGGACATCATTGAATTATCGAGTGGTAACTGACGCCAAAAATCAAGGAGCGTGCAATACTTGTACATTCTTTACGTAAGGTCTTTTTATGTTCATTTCTTTCCAATATACGATGCGTGATTACTTTCTATTTTAGAGTAGTAGGGGCCTTAGAAAGTGCATACGCTATTAAGCATCAAAGTAATGCTATTCCTTTATCTGAACAACAATTAATCGATTGTTCAATGCCGAATAGAGGTGGATGTTGGGCATCGAATTTTGGTGATTCATTGGATTATTTAATTCAAAATCCAAAACGTCCACTTGCTACTGAAGCTCAATATCCATATCAAGGTCTTCGCGATACAAATTTCTATCCACAAGCTTGTGCCGATCGGCTCTTTCAACGTTTAGGTGCCACACATTTATTCGAAAGCAAAGAGAGTTATCATGATGCATGGGATACAATCAACGATGATCTTCTAATGCGTCTTGTATCAAAAGGTCCTATAGCTGTTGCAATCAATGCTGATTTCATGGGCGGTTATGGAGGCGGAGTGTATCGAGGACCCTGTCCACCACATGTCAATCATGCAGTACTTTTAACCGGTTGGGGTACGGATCAACAAACTGGTGTTCCTTTTTGGCGTGTTAAAAATTCATGGGGAACAGGCTGGGGTGAAAATGGTTTTGCTCGTTTCGAGCGTAAACCTGGTCAAAATCAATGTTTTATCTATCATGAAGTTGCACGACCTACGGCTATATAAAAAGTCAATTTAAAAACAGTTCTTTATATATTTCCGCATAAATATCAAAGATAATTTGTAACTCATTTTTTCACGAGTTCCTCGTGACATTACTGTAGAGTAGCAACCCCATTTAATCCTTTGGTGGCGGGATTTTTTCTATGAGAAAATAAAATTGTTCATAAAAGTGAAAATAGATGTTGAGGTGTAGGTGTAGACATGGATATTGATTTAGAGAAGACCTACACCAACACCCATACCAGAAATGGAATGTCACCAGAAGCTAGTGTATGATACTGATGCTTTTCCTCAAATATAAAAAGTGAAACAAGAATACGAATTTTGAAAGTCTTATGGTAGAAATGTAAGGCGATTGGTTAAATCGTTGCTGTCTTTGATTTTTTTTTTAAAAAAAATTTTTTACCACTGCTGGCAATAGAGAAAAAAGTTAAATATTCACAGTCATTGGCACCGTCGAAAGAAAAGAATAGTAAAATTAAACTCGATTATCGTTGCCGATAATGTATCGTTTTACACTTACATTTACGGAAGTGGAAATGCGAAGATGAATAAAAAAAATATTTTGAGGGGTGGCGAGAACAAGTAATGAAGATTGAGAAAAATCGTTGCTGCAGGACACTAGTATCAATCAGCTTTTCTCTTTGGGAAAAAGAATTTTTATCTTATACAAACAGCAAGCGAGCGCGGAGAAAATTGCTTCTCATTGTGTTTGCACATAACGACAATAAATCATTGTTCACGATTTCTTTTGGTGACGAATATGTTCTTGTGGTAAACCATCACGCGAAGGTAAGGGATTTAAGAGATACTCCATGGAAAAAACCAAAGATTTGCGGATGTTGAAAAATATGATGGGAAAGAGATATTGAATTTGACTCCATAGGAAGTCAGGTCTTGCTATACTATGAAAGAATCCAAAGTATTATGATCTAAAGACTTCTGGTCGAATGGAGTGGATCGACTTTTGGTACTCTCTAAGACGCTCCTAAAAATCCTAAAAAAACTGCCTCAAGTTGACTTATTATTGTTTGAGAATTTTTTCCTCAAAATTTTTATTTATCGTTCAAATTGACTCACATACCATTCGATAGAGCTTGACTTGCTGTACAATAGTGTATATATGACATCTCGTATTAACCTCAATACAGTATATAAAAAAATTAAATACAATTTTATTCGACATTTCACCAAAATCTTCCGCCTTCAATATTTCGATCAAATGTTTGAGTTAAAAGTCAATTGTCAAAATAATTTTTATATGATTTTGTAGATCATTCAATTCTGCATCGAATCATACACTCTACATTTTTTGATAATCTTCTAGTTCTAGATAGATAGACTCAAGAGTTAAGCTCTAAATCCGTATGATACCTATTATACATTAGATTGAGTATCACATTGTATCATATACTTTAACCATGGTAAGCGATTAAAATTACTATGTGTAAGCGAGATTAACGTGACTTAATCAGTATTTTAAAGTCAAGAATCGGGTGTATTTTGATCAACAGTGATGAAGATCATGGACATTGTGAAAAAAGTTAAATCTGTCGTACTGGAAAGACGTCATAATACTTTTTGAATGTATACAAAGAGGGTACTCGTTGCTGTCTATTATTATTTCTTCTTTGTTACTCTTTGAGCTATCTTTCCGAAACACTGATCTAACCATACATGTTAGCTATTTTCGAAGCGAATCTACATTGTCTATTTGTTCGTTCATTAGCATAATCTTCTGTTTTCTTTCGATATTTTCAAAATTTGCTTATGATTGCAAAGATAGATAGTAGCGCACTGCAGAATCCTCCGAATCTACAAAAATGGTACTGTTAACGGCCTTATGATGCCATCAAAGATGTCTGTCATCATTTTCAACTGACACCAAAGTCCTGGATGTACAGTGCATAAAAGTGGATAATTACAATCAAAATGATTCCAAATTAATAGTGACATCCATTGTCCAATGCGAAACTTGATAGAATTATAAGATTCAGCATTCAGAAAATTTTGATCTTAAATCCTTTGGACTTCGAATGGTAAGCATGGTTTTCTGGAACTTCAGATTATCATATTTTGGCTCATAATAGCCATTTTGGAAGTTTTCATCGATTTGGCACATTAAATTATTTAAAATTTTTTTTCGACGCAATATCGTCATATACGGTCCACACTGAAGGTTTTATTTCTTCATCCACACCCACACACACCGAGATTGCAAGCAAATTTCACCTGAATAGTCTTATTATGAATGAATTAATTTACAAAATGTATTAAAATCGATGTCCACTGTTAAACAAAAAAAGTCTCTTAGAAAAACCAAAATGACCTGTTAAAATTAATATTTGAGATAGTTTTGAAAGCTCTCAATATTTAGTAATACAATTCTATCGATTATTAACCGATGACGGACGTTGAATTAATAAAATCTATCACATCATTTTTTAGAAAATTTCACGATACATATTAGTTTCTTCGCGTCGGATAGAAGACTGATTGAGTGTTGACTGAAAGAAATAGCAATCATATCTTTTATTTCGAGTATAAAAATCAGAATTGTCTGTCATATCGTTGATCAGTTTGGAAAAATTGAAGCGCCTTTCTTTGCAAGCAAGTTTGTTGTTAAAGAAATAGCAAGTAAAACATGCAGAATAGACGATGATGATGACTATTCTGCTCTCCAGCTGGTGTTAATCCCATTGTGGATGGGTATGTATACATGGCACATAGTAGAAAATAGAATGATGAAAGCAATATGTGTGTTGGTCGTGTCGATTTTATGGTAAGTAGCATCATCAAGTAATGATATATGCTAGTGATTGCTTTCAGTCTAATAGGTATGTTATTTGTATTCTAATTACTTCAATCAGACTGTTGTACCCTTAATAAGCTCATCGAATCGAAACTCAAACGTGTCAAAATGCCCGTCAATATGAAGAATGTTCGTCGAATATTGCATGCGGCTGTCTTTCTCTAACGACTGTTGACAATGGAGGTATTTGCGCCTACCTTCATATCACCTGTTCCGAATTGAACTCGTGTCTCAACGATAATCGAACATGTTTTGAACCGGGTCATGTGTGTGTGATGCACCCACAATGTGATAGTAACAATCCATTGTGCTATCCAATGGACATGGCTACTATAGCTATGTGTCCAGCTAAAGCACCAATGACAACAAGTAAGCAGTGAATAAATGAAGAATTAATAATTTTTCTTTTTCTTTATCTAGCTCCTTCTCCAAAGCTTGATGATGGTATTTGTTTGAGTGCAACATGGAATCGAACGGGTGTCATAGTAGCCGGACTAAAAGGATATGGATCCGCGTTGGATCGACTCAAAAGTCCGACTGGAATATTTCTCGATAACAATGATGTACTTTATATTGCAGATAGTGTCAATCATCGAGTAGTTAAATGGATGCTTGGAGCTTCGAGTGGTCAAGTAGTGGCCGGTGGAAATGAAAACGGCAAGAATGCTAATCAATTCAATTATTTGTCAAGTATTGTCGTTGATAAGAATGGGACCATGTTTATTTGTGATCGAGAAAATGACCGAGTTCAGCAATGGTTTGCTAATGATAGTCAAGGACAAACAATTATACAGAATTTTTCATGTTGGGGAGTGGCCATGGATAAAGACGAGTCATTATATGTCTCTCATTTTCGTGAGCATTATGTATTGAAATGGCCTACTAATCAAGTAGTTGCTGGTGGAAATGGAGAAGGAAAAAATCTAGATCAACTCGGGTACCCATCCCAAATATTCGTTGATCAAGATCATTCTGTTTTTGTTGCCGATTCTCAAAATGATCGTATAATCAAATGGTCTATCGGTGCGAAAGAAGGTATTGTTGTGGCTGGTGGAAATGGAATCGGAGATGATGCCAATCAGTTTTCACGACCCGCTGCAGTAATCGTTGACGACATGGGCACCGTTTATGTTGCTGACAATTGGAATAATCGAATTGTGCGTTGGCCGAAAGGTGCTACATCTGGTACTGTTATCGTTGGTGGAAAGAATGCAAGTGATGAGATGACCAAACTCTCTACTCCCGAACATTTGACTTTTGATCGACATGGAAACTTATATGTGGCTGATACTGGCTATCATAGAATCCTGAAGTTTGCTATTGACAAAAGTTCTTGTACTTAAAGTTCCTTTCAATAATAACTGAATTTTATTTGATTCTATATGTGCTAAGATCTAATATCAATTTTATTTAATACAGTTGAATCATGGATAAAGTATTTGTTGAATCAGTATATGCATAGCAAAGAGAGAATCATTTGAATCTAAAAAATTTGATTGATAGATTACTCCTTGCAATGAATCCACGATGCTCGTTGGTATATGCATTCGAATTGGCACTTGAATCAAAGAATCGAATGATTTGATAGTCCTCTAATATCAAGGATTATAAAGTAAAAATCATCAAATGACAATTCTTTTATCAGATTTTCATAACTTCTTTCTTATACTGATAGATGATATTATACTTGAGTATCACTTTGCAACAGCTCCAAAAACATTTCTCTTAGAAAAAATTCATTCTATTCTCATGATGAAGCCGTAAACAGATTTCTACTGAATTTGTAAATCTATTTATTTCCATTTTTTAAAATTTTATTCTCTTTATTCATAAAAAAAATTAGCTTTACAACGTATATAAAAAGTTCGTTATGACGAAAGATATGCGTCTGAGTGTATTCTATGTAATAGCAGTGCAAAGAATTGAATTGAATTTGAAACTTAACAATGTACAAAGAACAATTCATTTTTAACGAAAATCGATTCGAACTCATAAGATGGTTTCTGGTTGTCGTATTCTTACGAACTTTTCTTTTCATCCTATGATATAGATGACTCTTTATTATATATAGCAGAATATTCGTCTGATAATATGTCTCATAAGAACTTTTGTCCAGACAAGTAGTTTATTTTGAGTGGCGTTCATCTTCAACCTAATAGTGATTTCGACATGACTCAAATATTTCATTAACTTATCTTTGTTTATGATCCTAAGAAAAAATAAAAAATACATTAATGATTAGACAAGATATTTTAATTTTCAATAAATGTTCGATGATAGTCGTTTTGCAGTTATATTCATACAAATAATTACTGAATTGTTAAATGAGACAAAATCGGAGTTTTTTTTTTTGCAGAAAAGATCTATCATCGAGTGTATAAAATCTAGAAAAGACTCTTCAATGAAATCATCGATAAAGCAATGGCATTTCATTTCGTTGTTAAATCTTAGCCGAATGATCAAATTCCGGCATACAGAACAGCTACACCACAAGCCACCCACACCCCACACCCCACACCCTGGGTGTGGGTATGTGAGTGTGGATGGGTATAAATAATGGTTTAGATATTGATTTCATCCAAACCCACACGTGCACCCCACACCTACGTCACACATTCACACCTATATGCCACACCCGGACTTATACCCCCCATCCACACCCACACCTTCGGATTAGTATTTGAGATCCGTTCCAGGTGTTTTTCTGGTTTGTAAGACTTTGGCTATATAGAACACACATAGAGAAAATTCTCTTGTGACTGCTTTACCCTTCTGACGTGCACCTTAAAAACATAAAATGTCGCATTTTTTTTGTGTACATGTGCTGGTTACGACTTCAATCGAATGCGTATGTTGCAATATGTCCACAGAATGTGTCACATGTAAAGTAAAACGCGAAACTTTCTTTCACTGAGGTAGTCAGAAAATTGTCACCGAGCGGATTAAAAGGAGCCAAGTTATCGCAATTTATTTGGGCAACAGCCCAACGCCGATATTCTCTGACAATAACTCTCTCACTTGGAGACGAATTTCCTTACTAGTCGAGAGGGACAATGTGAACTGTGTCTTAGGTAGAGGTATATATGCTTCAATCTTGGATGAAATTTTGTCTTTTCCTCGCGAAGATTTAATGACTTTTTTCTTGCATCCCGTCAGTTCTGTATATTGCGCACTAAACCTGCAATAGTGAAAGTAAGTTTACACTTCAGCTGAAATATGTTTCTGGACTCTCTTAACTTTCAAGCAACAGGCATGCCCATAATCTAATCGTTGCTAAGTAGCTAACATGCTTGCCAAAGAAGCAGTTTGCGACACATGCAACATATTACTTTATAGTTTATGCGTTTCGATTATAGACTGAACTGAATTATGGGTAATCTATCCTCTATTCTTACCGATAGTGATAATTCAACTTGTACTTTCAATTCTGGATCTTCGTCATTGCAACCTAGTATTCTTACTCAAGCTCAATCATTAAGAAATCAAGCACGTCAATATCAACTCGAAGCTAAAGCAGCATCGGAACAATCTCAAGTTGAATATCGTTTTGGATGTAAATCGCAAGCGAAA